TTTTTTGAGACAAGGTCTCATTTTGCAGTTCAGGCTGACCTTGAGCTTACTTTGTAGGCCAGGCTGGTCCCAAACAAACAGTGATCTTCCTGCCTCAGCCTCCTGAGTGCTGAGATTACAGGCATGTGTCACCACACCCGCCCTTATATCTTCTTTATACATTTATCTATATCATTATTAAATTTTTTCTCTGTGTTAAGTATGTCTTGGCTTGAATCTTGTTTTGTTTACATATATTTAATCAAAGACATAAACATTCTTTTGGATAGCATTTAAATAATATATCTTTTTTTAATTCTTTTATTTCCAACTTTGTATTTCAGCCTCATCTTTTTGTCTATTATATAGTTGGATTTTGACTTTTTATTTAGTCTAATTGGAATGTATTCAACCCTTAGCATGTATTTGACATAATTAGATTTAAGTAGAACAGGTTACTTCTTTTCAACATTTTAAAATTTTCATTTATATTTCTATATGCTTCCTTTCCTGTTATTTGTATATGAACTTTTTTAGTATTTCATTTTTTTTAATTATCTAAAGAGAATAAAAAGGGGGCTTGCAGGTTAGCTCACTTGTTTAAGTACCTGCTGGGGCTAACCCACTTAGGCGCAGGGGACCACGGTTCCCCATGACCTACCAGACCTGCCCTTAAGGCAGCCTGAGCCAGAGAGAGAGAGAGAGAGAGAGAGAGAGAGAGAGAGAGAGAGAGAGAGAGAGAATACAAAATAGTAAAGAAAAAAACATTAGAAATGATACAGAACTTCACCAAACAAAACAATAGGAATTCAACAATGGATGCTGTACTGTATAATGTTTTCAAATTAGTTGTTCAGATTACCAGATACAAGCATGCCAAATTGGTTAAAAAATAAAAAAAATAACAACTGCTCCCCTCTGTAGCAGAGATCAGCATGTAATTATCCAAGCCATCCTGCATACATACATAAATATGCCCTGCCATCGTATTTTTTACATGGTCTTTATATCCAGGTCCCTTTAAATCTTGTGTTTTACATTTTTCTAGGAACTATAATACATACCATCCTTTATCATATTCTACCTGAATTTAGTAATGAAATCAGGAGTAAAGTACATTCTTTTTTAATTCGTAAGCGTGTTTAATTTTGTGCTCTCTGTATCCTTTTGCTGTTACTTTCATGCGTTTTTCATTTTTATACAGTATAAACTAGAAAATTTAGTATTGCAATTTTTGCCTTAGAAAATTTAACAGATCCCTTAAGTATACCTACTTTAATGTTTCTCAGAAAAATTACCAGAAATTTGGGAGGTTCTTAGCTTCTGACCAGTGTAAGAAAGTTGTACCTGACTGATTTTCAGATAACATGAGTGTTCTCTAATGCTTCCACAGATTTCTGTTCTTTTTAGAGTAACCCAGTCAAAAGTATAGAATCTGAGGGAGCCCTTGAAACTCTAAAATTAACTAACCACATATTTTTACATCACTGAGTTGTTTATTCTTTACCATAACCTAAGTCAGATTAATTTAATAGACATTCACAACTGATGTGAATAGCTCCAGAAGGAAAAATAAACCAAGCTAGCCTTTTCACCATTATAATTTACATTAGAAATATGTGTCACAACTGAGCTACTGCACTGCAGATGGTAATTAGTAATAGTAGTTTCATGCTTGGAGTGCCTGTCATTCTGGTCTTCTGAGTATGGGCTGCTTGTCATGACATGCCAGTTGCTGCTGTGATGTCTCTTGGGTAGGTGGTTGTTCAAGAA